CAATGAAACAGGGTACCCAGCTGAAATCGAGGAGTATTGGGCGAGAATAGGGAAAGGAGAGGATGTTGAGAATCTGTGTAAGGAGATTGGGGCACGGGTTTGGACTTAGCGCTCTTGTACCATTGCTATAAGATTCGGACGAATAACTCGCCTTGGATAGATCCAATCGAGGTTTCATGCACTTCAGGCTGAACGGGGTCAGAAGTTTGTGGGTTTCGAACAGAGATTTAACTCAACAATGGGGTATACCCTCCTCCAGCCATGCCGTCCTTACCGAACGCCTGATCAACGCCTACCGCCTCACTCTTACTTGACACTCATTTCCAATCCCCCATCCCTTCCATTGTTAACACGCATGATACTGCTCCTCATGGCAGATCTCGTATTCTGATTGTCGCTATCCACTCCCCGCTCTAGCCTCTCCCACAGACCGCCATTAGCCGGTGGCCCAGATCCCAGACTCTCCCTGACATCCACCGCAGAATCCACAATACCTAAACCTTGAACTCTCGCACCCAGGTCTTCGATAACCTCGTGTTGTCTAGCCTTTTTGGCCTTGTACAACGTCTGCTCTATAGAGCCCGGAAGATAGATGCGTTTGGCGCCTAGTGTGCGCTTGATATCCTCAAGGAGGACTTCCATCGGGCAGATGTAGGCGATTTGGTTTTTGTGACAGAATGCGAGGACGTGGCCGACGACTTTGTGGTGGCCGTTTTGCACGACCCAGGCTCCGCTGTCGCCGCCTTTACCGAATCCACCGGCGACGTGCCAAGAGCGTGAGAAGGACTTGCGGTGATAGATGCGAACGGCGGACATGACGCTGCTGATCATGCCGCCTTGGAGACCGGTTGTCCGGCCGAAACAATGCACAGACATACCACCGAGAGACGAAGTGGGGGCAACGCCGTTAGGATACTCGTCTTCTTCTGGAGTGAAGTTACGGCGGTTGACTGGCTTTTCGAGTTTGGAGGCTATCGCACGTTGTTCGGGTGTCATGTTGCCCATGCAAAAGCGACGACCTCCTTGGCATATATTATATGGTTGAAGGCGATCTTCTTTGAGTTTGAGGAGCGCCCAGTCAATTTCGTGGAGGATACCATCGCGTTTCCAGCGGCGAATTCCGGAAGAAGCATGAACGTGACCTAGCTCGTGCGAGGAAAGATGATCGTCGTCGCGATCTTCTTCGTTAGGGAAGAAGTCTGCGTCGACGTCATCGATGGCTGGTTGTGTGATCTTGATCTCCTCGCCTTCGCCTGGAACAATGCCGTCAATATCACCCATAGTTGCGCGCGAGACGATGGAATCGGCCATGTCTGAAATGAGATTAGCATTGGCGCCTTTCATGGAATACCTAGTTGACATACCTTCTGCGGAGTCATCGTCAGATTCGAGCTCGCTGTCGGAAAAGTCGAACGAATCGATATCAGCATCCTCATCCTCGCTCTTCAGGTCATCGTCGTCTGAGAGTTCAAGATCCCACATCGCGGCAGGCTCATCCGACTCCAGATAAAGATCTGGCTGCTCACCCATACCCATCAACCAGGGATTGTTCGCTGCACTTGATAACATCACATCACTGGGAAGAGGGCTATCGGGTTCTTCACCAGTGTCATCATCATCATCAGACGGTGCGTCGAGTAGGTGATGGACGCTCATGCCCAATGGCTCATCGTCGACCAAGATAACTCCACCATAGGACACTGGAGGCAGGTGTTCACCCCTGAAAGCTCCGATAGAAGCGCCACATAGTGGACGCTCCTGATGATAAGGATTCATCACTTGCATGTCAGCATCGTAGGTATTAGTGTTCATCATCGATCGATGTGGTGGCCTAGTTCGGCGCGACGAACGGCTCATCTTGGATCGCCTGATCTTTCCCCTCCGGACTTTGAGATCATACACGTTCTCATCGTAGCGGAAGCGACGACCAAGGATAGCTTTGACCTTGGCCACACTGGTACAGGTGACAAACACAGTAGGCTTGGCTTTCTCGAGTACTTCTCCAATAGCGACAAGATCAATGCTGACAGTCTCTTCAGAGTCTCTGAGTGCGCGTTCAATCAGACGCTCAAGGCGGGGCAACATAGATGAATGCCACTCATCCACAATCTCGGGAGTAAATTTGACGGGGAAGAGGCGAAGTTTTGGCCGAGGAGCGTGTTCCATATCGGTCTCGATTTGTATTGAGGACGTGACATAGCTCTCACTCGAATCGACTGTCCTGCTTTGAACCTCGGGTTCAGGTGTAGGATAGCCGAGAGTAGCTTGTGGCCAGTGCCTCAGCCCATCACTGACTAGGGCTGAGACAGTGTTACTGCTCCGTTTTTGTTTTGTCTGGCGCCAAGCCTTCTGGATGATAGTGATTTTGTCTTTGTAGTCTTGAAGCGTTGCGCCTCGATCGGAAGGGTTGCGTGATTGTCGCCATGCGCGCTGGATTATTGAAGCAGCGGTTATCACACGTTCTCTGTACAAAGAAGAATTGTCGCTGAGGTCTTGCGAGTTTGGTGGAGTCTCGACAAGGGTACCTGATTCTTCCAAAGGATCTTTCTGCTCCCACTCCATCTCCGTGGTTTCTTCCTTTGGACTCATCATACGCAAACTTTCTGAGATGCTCTTTCGAATAGAATGTTGCGAGCTCCGGGATGGATTACGAGCCAATGAGAGATCTGGCGACTTCTTTGACAGAGACTTGGTCCTTTCCAGCGCGTGTGATCCCTTTTCCAGTGCCCATCGCTTTGCGCTCCTATATGACGGGCTTGACTGGACATCGGTTGCTATTTGTGGCTGACTTACGCTCTTGCGCTTCAATGGAGATGCTTGCTGTATGGGTGTGGAACCCGGTCTGAGTTCGCTCAAGTCGAAACCAGGTTCAGATTCGTCGAGCATGCAGCAGCGTTGCAATCTGGTAAGGATGCGTGTGTAAACCTGCGGGACATCTATCGCGTTATCGCCCTTGACATCAGCGGCCCAGAAGCAGTCGCGCACTACCTGCATGTAGGCTGTTCCGCATTTGGAAGCAAGCCTACGGATGTACACATCTTCTATCCGTTGTTTGAAGTCACTAAGGGTGTACTTTTGCTTCCAGAGGTCAAGCAGAGGCACCCATAATCCTATTTCGAGCAGTACCAGTCCTAGGCCATAGAGATCGAAATTGGCGTTGTACTCTTGGTCTTTGTTTCCGGTAAACTTAGGATCTTCCGGGTGACGATAGATGTTCAATGCTGCTGTCGTTCTGGGAGTCTCAATGTCAAAGTCGGAGAACAGGTCGAAGGAACATATGACGGGTGCTCGCAGCGAGTATTGCAATGCTCTGCTGTTGGCAGACTGTCTCTTGCTCTTCTTGAAGACCATGATGTTGGTGCTGTTGACGTCCTTGTGAAGAAAGTTGTCGCCATGAACCTTGCTGAAGGTCAAGGCGAGCGTAAAGGCCAGACGAAAGCGGTCTTCAAGCGGCGGAGTGGCACTGTTGGAGTTGTGTTGAGACTTGGAGCCAGTCTGCAATACACTGAGCAGTGTGACTGGCTTGAGTTCCTCGACTGGCTTGTGAGAGTCGGCTGGTCCTGAGTAGACCGAGGTGGGTAGTTCAAAGACGAGACCAAAACGTGGCTGCTTTGGGTCTTCAAAGTAACCAAGGCATTTGAGAGTACCGTGGAAAGATTGGTTGTGGGTCAGCTTCGTTAAGATGGACAGGAGGTTCTCGAGGCGGTCCGTGGGTGGAGATACTTCAGTGAGTCGATAGGTAGGGTCGTAACATGCGTAGTCAACCAGAACGCAAGTCTCTATGTTCCTACTTCCATCCGTCTTCCAGGGGTTTGTGGAGCTGTGGCGAGATCGGAGACGACCGATGACACGAACAGAGGTAGTCCCGACGCTCTCGTATGGTGGGGGTTCCTCGTCAGGGAGGATCAGGTCTGCAGGATCTAGTTTTGGTGGAAGATGAGACTTGGGTGTGTGTGCATTCAAAGGGAAGGTGGCCGGGTTAACAAGTGTCAAGTCAGAAGCGTTGTAGTCGGGCGACAAGAAAACGGGGGTAGATGTGATGGGACGCGGCGCAGCTTTTCCTGGACTGATAGCACGTTCATTGCTTCTCTGGGCTCTTCGATTTCGTGAAAGATCGTAGAGTATGTCGATGGAGGTGGTAAGATCCTTGATGAGGTCCTCGTAACGTGACCTGTCGGCGGCCGCCCACGAGGGGAGGTCAGGCCGGCTCTTCTCTCCAGACAGTGTCTTTCCCCCACCCGCAGCAGATGTGCCCGGGTGCATCTTCTCCGCCTCATCGAGGATTTCCTTGATGGTGCCGAGCACGCTTGTGACCGTCTCCGTCATGCCTGCCTCTTCCACGCTGTCGTCAATGTCGCCCTGCTTCCCCTTGGAGTTGTCGCTCCAGTCGACGCCCCATGTTATGAGCCGGTCTTTCTGTATCCTAAACTTGCGATGCAGCGCATGCGACTCGGGCGTATCTTTGGCGTCCTGTTCCACAACGGCATCGCATGTGGTTTTGGTATCGGAGTAGAGCTGTGTCAGGCGCCGGGGAAGTCTACTGATGGTCTCCATGGTCACGACTGGCTTGAGGCTTGTCGCAACGGGTATTCTGACGCGCGACGGGCGAGGGCGGAGGGTTGTTAAGTGTGACGAGGTAAAGACATGAAGGAAGCCTGCAGCGCGTTTGCCTGGAAGGTGGTCGTCATGGCACAAGACCCGGGTTCAGTCAACTGGGCTGACTGGGGTGCATTTGGTGGTTGCCTACAGCCAGCCCTAGCACCGCCTCGCTGCCGTAGACGAGTGGGGAGAGAACATAACGCCGCCGAAGCCCGCCAATGATATGCCGTTCAACTCCGCCCGCGTCTGCGCCTCCACCTCGGCAGCTACAGCAGCTGGCCTTCATCACAAGGCATCTTGCTCACTTGGAGGCTGTGACACATGCTTTTGTTTCTATTGCTACATTCTTCTCACTCGTGCTGCCATTGTGCTAGCTCTGCGACGACAAACTATGTAAACATCTAGTCCTCAGTGAGATCACCATACTCCCACTGGCCGCGGCGCTCCTCCTTGGCCACGTCCTGCTTCTTCTTCATGGCAGCAAGCACACTGGCGTTGCGCTCCCATGGCCGCAACTTCTTTGGCACCATGGCAAGACCTTCGCTAAGGATGTCGGCGTTGATGCTTTCTGTGCCGTCTTTGCTCTGGTCGGGGTTGTACAATGTTACCCAGAGCATGCCATCCTTCTCAGTAGCCTCAACTCTGGCGACGAGCTCACGGTCAGCTGTCTCTTGCGAGATGAAGCTGACGGCGTCGGCAAGATACTCAGAGTTGCCAGGAAGCTGAACAAACGCCAACTGGGCCTCTACCGCCTGCGGCTTCAGCTTCGATGGCAGGAACTCGGCTTGTGAGAGTGGACGAAGGCGGGCCCATGGGATCGTCTCCGAGTTACCGTAGTCAATGTAAACCACCTCAGCCTTCTTGTTCTCTCGGTCATTGCGTCGGATGCGTGCACGGTACCATTGGTCATCAGCAGTGAACTTGGCTGCTACGAACTCGCCGGCCTTGGGTGCATCTGGCAGACTCGCGCTGTTTGCTGGGTTGAGATGGAACTTGCTGAAGGCGCTCATCAGGGATGTCAAGGCTGATGTGCCGCTGCCGATCTGCTGCAGACGGAGTCTTCCGTCGTCTTCAACGTGGGTGATCATAACATCGCGGTAGTCTGCCTTCCTTGATGGTTCAGCGTCGCCGTTGGTGGGCTCAGCAACTGCTGCTGTTCCGTCATCCTCTTCTTGAGATGGATCGTAATCTTGCCACAAGTTCTTTCGTGCATCCTTGGCCTTTTGCTCAGCCGCAAACAGTTCGTTTGCGTTGCCAGACTTCTCCGCTGAGTAGGCATGAACCGTAGCCAGACCTTCCTCAACCAGAGTCTTTGCGAAGTTCTCACGGTTAATGTACAGAGTACCAATGAAGCCACCGACCTTGTCGCAGTCTTCAACGTCAATCTCGACGTCGCGCTGCTGACAGCGGCGGTTGGCAAACTCATGTGCCTCCTTGCCAAACGGTTCGCCCTTCTCGCTTTCATTTCTCGCTGATCGAGGTGCGCGAATACCGGAGAGGACAAAGGTAAGCTTCGCGTTCTCGCGAGGTACTAATACAGTAAAGCGCGATCCTGACTTGACAAAGTCGACAATGGCCGGTACCTTGCGTTGCCGCGAAAGCAGAGTGAGTTGACGCTTGGCCTTCTCGAGCGACTCCGAGTAGTCGACGTACTGCTTCACGGAGGGGGACTTATCCGACCAGAGGCCTTTCTTCTCAGCTTGTGCAGTGGACTCGGCAAGGAGGAGGTCGTCGTAGATCGGGCTCCTGTCGGCATCGTCCTGTCGGTGGCGAATTACTGAAGCCATACCGCTCTCTACAAGCATCAAACCAATGTTCTTGCCCTGGAAAGTGACGGTGCACATCTCGCGCTCGTCGTAGCCCTCGGTCGCCGGTCGCTTTCCGTCGACATGGAACTTGACGTGCTTGCCAATGAGCTTCTTGCGCAAGAACTCCTTTGCCTCAGCTACCCATGGTGATTGCTTGGGATCGGTAGGCTTCGGTTGACGGACGCTGCTGAGGTTGATGCGCTTCTCTGCACCCGCCTTGTTCCGAATGAAGATGGTGTCGGCGCTCTGAACACGGCTAACGGTGGCTTCTTGCTCGCCTGCCTTACTGACTTTGGGCGCAACATGCTCCTTGTAGACACCCAGGCGACCATCCTTTGCCTGCTTCTCGGCCCCCCTCAATATACCCATCCTCTGGCCAAGGAGAGTGGTGTGGTGGTCGGTACATTTGGCCAATCCGTTCTTAAGCAGGAAAGGTGTGATGCTGCCTTGGGTAGGATGCTTTACGTCTGCGACAATTTGGCCGTTGGGTGTCGTGCCCAGAACCTCGACAAGGACTCCTCGCTGTAATAACCTAGCCTCGACGAATTGTTGCGCGTCGTCACCGAATGGCTCGGCTGGTTGGACCTTGCCGTCGGAGGGGTTTGTTCGCTGTGTTGCTGGTGCGCGGACACCGGCGAGGAGGACCATTGTTTGCACGTGCTCGGTGGGCGAGAGGAGGAATCGCACGATGAGGCGGTCGCCAGAGAGGACCTTCTCAACAATCGAGTCAATGTCTTTGCCCTTGTTCTGTTCGACAAACTGTTGCGGATCGCTCAGCTCTGAAGATGAGTTGATCCTGCCGCCAGTCTCAGCCCAGAGGCCCTTGGAGTCTGCCCTAGCGCGGGCTTCATCTACTGCAAGTCGTTCAAGCAGGTTGGCAGCTTCGTCCGAGTCTTCCTTGCGACCGGCGTCGTCTCGCAGCTTGACCCAGCCCGCAGCGACGGCTTGTTGTGGAAGAATCTCCTTGTTCGGTGTGACGATGAGGCCATATTCGCGGTTTGCGCCAGTCGGTATCTTATACAGAACTTGGAAACGCACGACCTTGCCTACGAGCAGACGTCGGAGGTAGTCGCGTGACTCGAAGGCAAAAGGCTCGTCTCCCTCTCGTCGCAGTCTCGGCGCAGTTACAAAGGCTAAGCTCAGTGTACGCTCTGCTTTGGGGTTGTTGATGTTGTGGAGGACGACAGTATCGCCGGAAAGGACGCTCTTAACTTTTGCTTCGAAGAGGTTGCTCATGATGGACGTCGGATAGCTGCAGAACGGGGGGGGGGGGAGCTGTTAGCTACCGTGTCCAGAGAGCTTCAGATGCCAGGTGGGGCCACGCAACAATTCCCCTGCACTTACCTGAAGGAGATACCAAAATGGGGTCAATGTACCAAGGGGAGTTTTTGTGAGGTGCAATTGATGTGTGGAATGTATGTCAATTGCAATTCGGGGATAGTGAAGCTACGTGTTGTTATGGCGGGCAAATCTCGCCGTTGCTACTCAGGGACCTTTCGCTGTGGGGTCAGAGGCCTAGGCGAAGCTAGACGTCACCGCCGCCGCCTTCCAGACTTCTGTTACTCCAAACTGTACTGCCCCCAACTTGAACACCACGCCATAACCTATCTGGGTACCTGGATACAAACGTCGATTCTCGCGTGCCGCCGCTGGTAGAGAGCTACGTGCCGAGAGCCCGCAAATTATGCTTCACATCACAGCAAACACGCCGCGACAGACACTTTCTTAGGCTTCCGTGTCTGGCATGCGCTCCGCCTGGGAACACTCTCAAGTACCTTTGCAGTATATCTACTCAAGAGACTATCTCTTTTCCCGAGACGTCTTTTTCCTTGCTGCCCTGCTTCTCCTGTTGTTGAAAAACTACCTGGTTCAAAGACAATTCCGCGTCACGACCCGACAATGCTGGTAAGCGGACTTTGCCAGGGGTACACGTGGGACGCTTGAACTGTGCCGCAGACGAGCATTAACTCCCCGCCCAACTTGGCAGGAGACCCGTCCACACCTCGCAACCCTGACATACGGTGAAGATGGACGACGCGTCGCCCCCAAGACGTCCTCGACCAGTTGTTTCATGCCTTAGATGTCGCGAGAAAAAGCTGAAATGCGACCGCACAACGCCATGCGAAAATTGCACCAAAGCATCCATCGCTGAGACCTGCACTTACAACCGAAGCGGCATCATCATTCCAGCTGCATCCAAAGTAAAACGACCCCGACTATCGAGCACTTCTGACAGTGCGCCTTTAAGCTTGCTCGACGATCTTCAGCACCGAATGGCAAAAGTGGAAGAGCTCTTGGGCGTTGCTCGTGCACATCAAAGCTCAGCAATAACACGCATCGACCGGCCGACGTCGACAGATCTTCCTCTGCTTGGCATGGTCGTTGCTGAAGGAGATCGGTCACAGTATCATGGGCAGAACGACAGGGTTACGCTCCTCAACCAGGCAAGAAAATAACAGCACTATGATTCCGGGCACTGAATTAACTGAATCCAGTTCCTCGATGTCAAAGATTTTCTCAATAGGATGGCTTACGATGGACCATTAATGGCATCTGCCAAGAAGATCAAGTTTCTTGAGAACAAATCCAGAGGGAATTCACTATCACTGCTACATCGCCGGAAAGACCATGAATCTTCGCCTACATTGCTAAAGCTCTGGGGGTCGCTACCTCCAAAGCCTTACTGCGATAGGCTAGTTTCGATATACTTCAAGTATTTCGAGCGAACTATGCGTGTTCTTCACCGCCCAACATTCATGCGTCAGTATGAAAGGCTATGGCATAACAACGAATCTGAGATCGGTTCTTCATCCAGCATCATCGCACAGCTCACAAGCCTTATGACCAGAGCTTATTTGCTGGATAACGCAACAAACGCCAACGAGTACGAAGCCCATACACTCTATCTAAAAGAGACAGCTATCAACTATGTCGAGGCATGGCTCGACGAACTTGGACGGAAACAGAAAACCGAGCTATCAACCCTTCAAGTCGAGATACTTGTGCTATTTTCCAGTAGCGTTCGAAAGCCGGAGACGCTTTGGCGTTCTAGTGGTGCTCTTGTACGCTCAGCTATGATGATTGGCTTACATTGGGATCCGGCCAACATAAAGTCTATTTCACTTTATCAGAAGGAGATGCGAAAGCGGCTGTGGGCAACCGTTCTAGAAATCGACCTACAAGCGTCAATGATGGGAGGAATGCCCTTGATAGCTCCTGATCTCGACAATTACAGTCCAGTACCGACAAATTTAAACGATGAGGATTTCGACGAATCTTCAACAAAGATACCCGCTTCGCGCCCACTCAGCGATCTCACAGACACTGTATACCAGGTTTACCTTGCTACATCTCTTCCTCAGCGGTTCGAGGCTCTTTCGCTTGTGCAGCGCTCGACGCCTGATGCGAACGAGGCAATCGAAATAGGGAGGAAAGTCGAAAAGTGCTTAGTTTCCAAACCCTCGATCCTCAGCTTGCACCGCAGTCAACTAATGCCTGGTGATCGAGGGGATCTGCTGCATCGCGTTCTTCTCGATTTGTACCTTCGGCGACCGCTATTCTGCTTGTACAAACCACTCCTTTATAACGACCAGGGAAACCCCGAAGCGACAAAAGAAGTCTGGCTACATTGCATTGATTCATCGCTAGCCATACTCGCCTATCAGGATTTCTATAATCCTCCAATCTTGAAGGAGGCAGCTGATGGACCATCATCGGAGCAAGACTTTTACTATTATACGTGCAAAACAGACACTTTGTGGGCAGCTCTTATGATATGCCAGCGCATCAAACAGATTTGCCAGCACCCAGAGCAGCAAATGCACGCACATCATGAACAAGCACTTGTTGCAACTGTACAAAATACCATCAGATCTCTCATCGCAAGAATGGGGCGCAAAGGAAGTGATTTGAAAGACATCATCTTCCTCTCTCTGGTGCTGAAGTGGGTGCAATTGCCGGACCCATGTCCAGAAAGAACTTATGAGCTCCACCTAACCGCCACGAGAACAATGGCGGCTTGTGTCGATCAATTACTGCAGTATGAGCTCCGAAGTAACCATTATCGACATCGACAAGACGAGTACACTGAACCGTTACCGCGCATACGAACTTCCGCAACACCCATGTCGCATATTACCATCAACAGCAACCCCATCACACCGGGGCTGGCACTTAATCCATCGCTACCTGAGCGTCGCGCTACACCAAACATTTCTGAGGAAGCTGAACAATGGCTCAGCGACTTTCCTGGGTTAGCTGCCGAGTTTACGAACTTTCAAGCTGAATTGTATGATGGCAACGATGCTTTCAATAGTGGTGTGGCGCAAGATTGGGAATATTTTTGGCAGTGATGATTGCGGTATGGGATAGGCTCACGACAGGTAGCAGAAGAAGAAAAACCTGAGATAAGAAGTGCTGCAATGCAGAAAGATACCCCTTCCATATTCCGACGTTTCATGTGTTCACGGTTTCTTTTTCATGGTTCATTTACAAAAGACGTTTCGCTACGAACACAGCCCCACCATCCAACTATCTTGTCAATCCTTGAACACCTTCCAACACACCCATAGTATGTTTCCACACTCTGTCCCTGGTGTCACTCTGCCTCAGCTTCGCATAACTAACTTCCTTTTTCTCATCGCCCCTCTGACCGACAGCATATGCACCGCCGCCTCTTTTTCTCTCACTACTGAATGCCACATCGTTTCCCTCTTTACCGCTCTCCGTATCACCCTTGCCGTCATCCGCCCCAACACCTAAGCCCTGTGCAGGATATCTCCCCGTCCCCAAAAACACCATGACATGCCCACAAACCTCAGGACTCGTCATGTACCAAGCCATCAATACCTTGGCTACACGCCACAAAATACGGAACCACAATGGATTCACATGACTCAAGAATGTCGGCCCATCAACTAGCCCAGGGTAAATATGAATAAAAGAGATCTTGCCACCGTGTTTCTCAGCCAGGCCCTCGAAAAGATACGTCTTCATAAAAGAGACGTGCGTGCGGACCGATGTGACGCCGTATTTCTTGGGCGGCGGTGGGCCGATAGGGAGGTTTTTCGCATCGATGCGGTCTTCCATTGTGCCTGCGAAAACAGATATTACGTGGGCGCCTGAGGGGCTTTGAGAGCGATAGAGGAGTGGGGTTAGGTTGAGGATGAAGCGGATGCGGGAGTAGTATAGGAGAGACATCTGAGTGTCTAGTCCTTCTTTTGTTGCTGTAGGGTTGGTTGTTGATGTTAGCATATGGAGATTTTTGTTGCTACTATGCGACTATGCTCCAGTTTCTCATCTGGTAATAAGAAGTAAAAGAGGACCCACGATTGGATGGTGCTAAAGGTGAAATCGCTTGACTCATGTACAACATATCTATCCTCGGTCCTCCTCCCCCCTTCAATGGCTCTTCCTCCTCGTACCGCTTGATCTGCGCACACACGGTATCGACATCGCTCATCATCGCCAGATCATTTGCTTTCAAAAACCGCCATTCTGAACCTGGACTCGTCGAGCGCACATCCGTGAGCAAGGCCTCTGCGCGTGAGGCGTCGCGACCAACAAGGTAGACACGAAGTTTGGATCCAGCGTTGCGGTAAACGGAGGCGAACGCTTTTGCCGTGTATGATCCGATGCCTGATGTGCCGCCTATGATGGCGATGACAAGAGGGGGACCGGTGGGTAGTGTGGTGATGGTAGCGTGAATCTGGGCGCGGGATGGCATTGCTTGGACAGTTTGACTTTTGTAGGGAGAGCATAGTTAAGTTGCCAAGGGAATGATATTTATATGTATACAGATGCTACTACTCCCCATTCTTCGTGATGGTTGAATGCTTGATTTTACCATTGTGGTTGTCCGGATCAGGAAAATCATGCGCCAGCGGACTTGATGAGTTTAGACCAGATGAGGCGTCCAACAACTTGAGTCCAATGGTATCGTCAGATGTGGATGCGACCGAAAGCTTATTGCGCCGAGACATGGTATTTGATGTATTTTGATGTTGAGCAGATGGAGCTCCTTTGAGCCTCTACCTACGTATGAGGAAGAGTTCGCGCGATGTGTGCATCTTCGGCATAGAGGCGCTCAACCGCCATCTAGCTACAATTGGGGGATCCAGCATACACTGTACCATGTACGTACACGTTGTAATGAATCCCGAGATCTAAGAGACAATACTTGTTGGGGTATGTGACAGTCGTTGAATTTATTTGGGCGCAGATTCGCCATAGTTGACCAGATGGACTATGTTCAATTAATTTCCGGCTCGCATTTGAAGCCTAGCTCGCTGCAACTGTAGTAGATGTCAAAGTGTACGTGCAAAGGTGCTAATGTATGTTGCGAGGCATGGTGCATGCAAACCAATATTTTGGCTGCAGAAACGTGACCGTGGTACGTGTACCATATGCAGCATGTAAGAGGCCGGAAGGCTGGCGCGCATTTTGACAGTAGAGCCAAACAAGTATCTGCTGCTGCTGAAGTCCGGTAGGATGACTTGACGCTGACGCGGCGCTCGTATGCACGGCGGAACAAGATTCGCTCAAGGGCGCGGGGTAGGATCGAGTGGTGAGCACAACATGTCTTATCAGCCGGGCCGGATGGCGATCTGGTGTTTGTGTTTCACCACAGCGATCAGATGGCTACAAGGGCAATGGAAGTCGCGCATGACGACCGTGGCTGAGACAACGGACTCGGACCTCCAGCAAAAGATGGGAGTGCGCGAAAAAAAGAGGAAACGCGATGGGCGATGGCAAACAGATGGCAAAGTTGAGGCTATGCTATGCAGACTAGACAGGCTTAAAGTAGGTCGCTCCAGATTTCCGAGTGGAGCCGTTTGCGGTAGCGGCTGACACGAGGAGCTAATGGTGGAACGTGGTGAAGTCAAAGACGTTGTTGACAGAAGCTCGAAGCAGCAGAGACTATGCAGAATAGACGGCAAGGCGTGCAGTCGAGCAGGGGATGAAAGGGATAGACACCAAAGAGGATTCGCGGCAATAAAGATGCAACTGATATGGGAGATTGCCTATGGCCCAACCCTTGTTCGCGCCGTTGTCGATGCGGCTTCCCGTGGGTAGCGCCAAGGCCTCACTGCGACTGCTTGTTTCTGGTGAGGCTATATCGCGCCTGCCTACTTTGGGCGCACAGGCAGGCGCGATGCATCACAGCGCAGCAACAGGCAGGCACTGTGTTGATCGTGATACGGGAGTGAATTGATGAGAGATGAGAGAGTTGAGAGAGAAGCAGAGCACGACCGCCAAAGCAAAAAGGGCCATGGTCGGGTCTGCGAAAAGGCGCGCTCGCTCGGTATGTGCAACGGCAGCAGCTTATCACGGCGAAAACCTGTTGAGGCTGTTTGGAGGCTGGTGCATTGGCGGAGACGTCACAGGTGGGTTCGCTGGTGGTTTCCTGGGTGAATCTTGCGGGCTAGCGCAGCCAATCCGTCAGCCTCTGTCGTGCCAGAGCCGTGTACCCGACTAACACACCTGCATCAACTCGGCCACACGACTGCTCTCTCTCTCCACAATTGCGCCTCTGCGAAACGCTGCATCATCCTTTTCTCTCGTTTTTGTCGGGCCCTTGCGTTGCAGCTCCTACGAAGAAGAAACCCTCGACCAAGCGTGTCCCGCGCCCCCAACCACTAGCCAGGCCCAGCCATAGTCCGCCCATCGCGATCCGCAGAGCGGCGCGCCGCCGTCCGCTACCACTTCCAAGCGTTGCCCGCGCCCGCCTGTCGTTTTCGCCTTTTGACGCGAGGTGTGTAAGAAAACCTCAAACAAGCACCCACAATGGCTTTCCAGCAACCCCAGGCTTGGCCATTAGGACAGCAGCCAGACTCCCTACCGTCCGACGACAATCCGCCGCCTCCGCCTGTTCATCGCACCCCCGTGGGTATGCACCAGCAGCGACAGTATACCGACCCCAACAACTACTCCGACTACTCGACTCCAGGCGTCACTCCAGGCTCTGACAACATGGGCGACTCAGCCGCTGGCGGCGGTATCAACGGCATCGCCAACGGCGTCGCTAGCAACCACCCACGCGAGAGCGGCATGCACGCTGCGAGAGGTATGCCAGGCCCAGGACGACCTATGGGCGTACCCAACAGGAACTCGCAGTCCTCACCCTTCAACGACCCGAATGGCTACGACCAGCCCATGGTGCCCCGTCCAATGTACTCGAATCGTTCCTACGGCTCAGGCGCACCGCTGGTCGCTGGCATGTACTCGAGTGACAGCTCCCTGCACAGCATGCCCCACTCTCCTCACAGCGGCGCCCCCTACAACGACACGCCCTACAACCGCTACTCTTCGTCTGCCCAGAACCTCGCTCCCCAGATGGGCATAATCAACCCACACGAAGTCGACAATGATGACGACTGGGGAATGGGCCCAGACCACAACTCTATGCAGAACAAGCGACGCTCTTTCGTGCCATTTGGTGGCTCGCGCGACGGCAGCAGTCGCAATGGTTCTCCGGGATCATCAATAAACCACGGAGCTGTTGGTGCTGCCGCAGGCGCTGGTGCCTTCACTGCCGCGTCGTCGCGAGACGGCACCAAGTACGATGCCGTGCCCATGGTCAACGGAAGTGGAGAACTCATGCCAGAAAAGATCGCCAGCTGGAAAGCCGAAGACGACTTGAAGAAGCGGAAGAAGAGAATGTGGATCGCCATTTCTATCATCGCTCTCATTCTCTTGGGTGCGATTCTTGGTGGTGTCCTAGGTGCTACTATCGGCAAGGGCGGAGGCCACGACGCTAGCAAAGCCGAAGCTGAGCAATCTTCCCAAGATGTCGCCAAAGACAACAAGGAGGATCTTGGCAAGGATTCTGATGAGATCAAGGCCTTGATGAACAACGCCGATCTGCACAAGGTCTTCCCGGGCATGGACTACACTCCACTGAACACACAATACCCAGACTGTCTCCACGTCGGACCATCGCAAAACAACATCACCCGAGACTTGGCTGTCATGTCGCAACTGACCAACTCAGTCCGTTTGTATGGTACCGATTGCAACCAGACTCAGATGCTCATCCATGCCATTGACCGCTTGGAAATCAAGGACACCATGAAGATTTGGCTCGGTGTTTGGCTCGACAAGAACGATACTACTACTGAGCGACAGATCGCTCAAACATGGGACATTCTCGACGACTACGGCTGCGATTACTTCAAGGGTATCATCATCGGTAACGAGGTGCTTTACCGCAAAGACCTGACGGAAACCGAGCTACTCGGTCACATTACCGATTTCCGCAAGAACATCTCGGACCACAGCTGCCAGCTGCCTGTCGCCATGGCCGATCTAGGTGACAACTGGACTGCCGACATGGCTTCCAAGGTCGATATTGTCATGTCTAACGTTCATCCCTTCTTTGCTGGTGTTGACGTCAGCGAGGCGGCCGCCTGGACCTGGAACTTCTGGCAAACCCATGATGTGTCTCTCACTGCGAGTCAAAACGGCATACACCAGGTCATCGCAGAAGTTGGTTGGCCATCCGGGGGCGGCACTGATTGTGGTGCAGCCGAGACTTGCGCCGGAGGATCCGTTGCTGGGATTGATGAGATGAACCAATTCATGGAAGACTGGGTCTGCCCAAGTCTGGCAAACGGAACAGAGTATTTCTGGTAGGTGTTTGCATCGCCGTTCGTTGACGCACCGTTACTAACATATGTCTGCAGGTTCTCAGCATTTGACGAGCCATGGAAGATTCAGTACAATGAAAAGGGCAAAGAGTGGGAAGACAAATGGGGTCTCATGGATATCAACCGCAACCTCAAGTCTGGCCTCAAGATCCCCGATTGCGGCGGCAAATCTCTACCCTCGACGTACGACAATTAGATACGAGACGAGCGCGTATAGCATTCATTCTCATCACGAGTTCTTGCATGACGGCATGGCGTTGGCGGGCGTTTTCATCTTCGGCATCAATGCGGCGACTCTTTCTCGACCGCTCTACCGATCTCTTTCCGCGAACTTTGTATATCCAGGGCACAATTGTACCCTTTTCCTTTTCTTTTACGCGGGCCTGAAATCCCACAATCTGGGTGTCTACTTGTCTGGGCCCCTACATCGAGACATGTTAGGAATTTTGCATTGGATAATCTCTAGAGGGAAAGGAAGCCCTCTACTTGTGTATATATACGATTACCGGGAATATGTTGGAACCCGGCTGGCTCTATTGTGTATATCTGGTGGATTTTGGGCAAGTCTCTACCCAGGCTCAGGCTCCGGGCTGCATTTTTCTCCCTCTGCGCTTTGTGTAATAAGGAGGGAAAATGTTTGAGAGAAAAGCATTTTGTAGATAGAGCATGTGCGGAAATAAATAAATGCAAGAGACGTATCCTTTGAGTCTTATTCTCTTTCTCTTTCTTTCGTTACCTGAGGCCGCGTCATCCGATTGCGTCAAGATTGGCCCTATCACGGGTATGTGTTCATCTGGTTATGAGGGGTGGCGTCAGCTGGATCCACTGGCACGGCGATTGCATGCGTAGTGAGTAGAAGCGGAGAAATAGCAGGCAGGGGTGATCATCCGTGTCAAGCTGCTGGGTCTGGTCGCCTTTAGTGTGGTATCAGGTGAATCGGTGTTGAGTGATCGAAAGGGCTATGTAGCGCCTACAATGTAGAAAGCATGTGTACAAACGAGCAGTAGGGTGTGCTGCGAAGCCTAATTCCAGTCGAGAAAGAGAGATGTGTTAGAACATACGTGAGGCTTGAGACACCAAAGTGTTTTGGCAACCATGTGGGGTGGTGTCTCAAAGCATCGTAATCACAGTATCGCAGTGGTCGACCATGGCTTCCAGTAACATAATAAAGTTATCACAATCGCGTTGCACACTGAATTGCCAAATTTACAAGCACTGCAAATCAACAGTTAGATGACAACCCCTCCCACATGGGTCACGCACCTCTTTTTGGTGTCAAAGCATTATAGAGATTTTCACCAGTTTCAAAGACGCGAGCAAGATTGAGACTAGAAATTAGAATTTAAGAGTACTACTACTATCATTACTACAATGTGTCACAGCTGATATTACTCGAGATTGAAAGCTCTGCTTGTGGGACAACCACTTTACATGACCTCAACAACGGCGGGACCAGCAATAATGGTGTCATCAGTGGCAGCGGTGTTGCAGCTGGTGAGAACAACGTAGCTCTGTCCAGCAATACCCTTCTCGGGGACCATGACCTCGAATCCACCCTCGACCTCCATGGCGTCAACGAAGACAGGGCCGGTAACAGTGATGAAAGCAGCGTAAACCTTGCCGTCAACCTTGTATCCAGAGGTCTTGAGAGTAACCTTGCTGCCAGCCTTGATCATCATGCTTCCGTCGGATGCGGAGGCAGCAAGGGTAGGGAAAGCCTTGACGGGCAGAGGAGCGTTGGTCTCTGGGCAGGACTTGATGAACTGCGCAGCGAGTGTGTAGACCTCGTTGTAGCTCAACGGGTTGTCGAAGGGAGCTGGGAAAGGCGACTCGCTAATGGTGTTGCGTACGTAGGCAGAATGGCGGGCCTCGACAGTCAGGATGGATCCAGCGGCAGTCAAGTAGGTCTTGGACATGATGTCTGCGGCGGCACCGAGGTAGGCGCTGACACCAACACCCTCGAGGATGCTGGCAGTGGCAAGGAAGGAGGCAACGTCCTTGTATCCGAAGTCGTAGGTGCAGGCCTCGACGGGCTTGGCTCCAGCAGCGCTGAGCGCACCAGTCAGGAACTCAACGTGAGTCTTCTCATCGCCCGAGATGGTCATGATGCGGTTGTAGGTCTCCTCGGAGAAGTTGGCGGCCTTGAAGTCCTCAACGCTGTACTTGGCGAGGGCCTGAGCGTAGAAGGTGTTCTCGAGGTGCTCGAGAGTAAGGGCGTAGTTGAGAATCTCGCCGTCGGATGGGCCGTCAGCACGCTTGACGGGAGCAGCAGTAGAGACAGCCGCAAGAGCAGCGATGGAGAAAATGGTGGACTTCATCTTGATGGTTGGGTATTAAAATCGAGTAATCGAGTAATGAGTACAAGAGAATGTGTAGTAGAGATGCTCAGAGTAGTAGTTGGGATGCTGTGAGATATCTCTTTCAATCCGGCGAAAACCATTCCATCTTATACCTACCATTACTCTCCTTCCTCGTCGCCCGCAAAGACAAGACTGAAAGCTTACTACCCCTCTTCGAGCTCGCCCATCCCAATCTCATCATCATCTTCCGTAGCCTAAGCTAGGCACAAACTCCCGTAGACGGACATGATTCCATCCGGCGCCAGTCGCGATCTCACAGCCCAAGCACCAGGGTAGCTAACATCCCGATCAGCCTAACCTCACCAACTGATCCACCGTCATCCCGATCAGGCAGAGACCAACGACCTTGATTACTACTTCTAGACGAGAGTAAGGCCTTGGAAAGAAGGAACGAGTAACAGTAAGGGTCCAAGAGTCATTCCCCGCAAAATCGCGGCAGGTTAGTGATGTTGTGTACCACGGAACCTTCACCATCCGAATATGGCGCTAGGACGGTTAAGCTCGAGAATGACGTCGCGCTACTACAAAACGGGCTCAACTATACCAAGACTGCTCTAGTACGCAGCTAATCATGACCATTTTAGTCAGGGGACAACAACTTACAATTGTCAGCTTTTCTTCCCGTTCAGACTACACGTGCTGTTGAAGCCTTTTTTCTCCGCAGTGGCTTGATCGCGACGGGATCTACGACCGGAGGACATGGAAGGTGTTGAAGTTACTATGGAAAGGTGAGTTTCCGAGGGGCAATGTCGGCGGATATGGAAGACTATATCGAGAAAGGATGTTTAGAGAACGTAAGCTGAAGAGGAAGCAATTGGTATGCACCAAGGTAGGGAGCAACTACAAAGCAATTGCTCCTCCTGTCTTTTCCTAAGCTCTCTTTGTTGTGCATGGATGGAAACGCTAATGGAACAAATTATCATTCCAATAACGATTCTCTACATCCTGCTAGACCGCCAGCCTGGTTACAAACTTGAACGTCGAAGGCTAACGCACTCCCGGAACCAGCACCGTTCGCTAGTACAGGGACTCTCGAAATACAAACGGAACTTCCCACCTCCACGTTCCATTTACCCTTGAGCTAGCCAGGTAAATTACAACCCACTGGTCTTACCACCTAGCCGCCTTATCCAACTACCGGCGGCACACAGTCTCTCCGTACTTTAGACCGTTAGCTTGGTTCTAGCAGCCGTGAGTGTTTCTTTCCCTCCCGCGCCTTTGAAATTCGGCAACTTCTTGCCCGTTGATCAACACTCAACTCTGCTGCATCTGTGTCTGATAGAGTGGGGACGTGACCTTGGGATGAATGTATTCTCGGAAGACATACAACCCGATGAGACTTGGACAATTGGCCGGGCCATTCTGTTGCGATCTTGCCACTTGCCAACGGTTGTTCGAAATGAAGGGGCTCTAGTAAGTTGTGGAAGTGAGTTGTAGCTTGTTTGGGAGGCGAGTAGGACAATATGCTAGTAGTTCATTGGCTCACTTAGAGTAGAACTGCCGCGTTCGATATATCCTAAGGTAGAAACTGGAATCAACCTCGGGAGGAAGAACTAAGGAGGTGAACTGTGCGCATGATGGAGGTAAGTCGCCAGGTGTGGATACAAAGAAGCGGCATATGCGCTGTTCAATTACCGCTTCTTCTCTTTCCATTCCCTCAAATTCTAAAAGTCATCGTACATTCTTTTGTAGTCGTAACATATACTACATACGCCACCATCTAATCAACTGCATTCGCACCTTAAAACTCCCAATATGAAGTTCTCGGCGTCCATTCTCAGCACTGCTGTCGTGCTATCCAGCACCGTCTCGGCGTAAGCAAGCTCTCTATCTCTCCTAGCACATTTGCTCCCTACCTTTTTCTTCTACAATTCAGTCATACTCAACTCGACTAACGCGCCACAGCCAATCTCCCGCCGTAACATCCACCCTCACAGTCCACCCAGGCTGCCCCTCCGCCGCCCCGGCCGATGTAATGGTGACACGCTCCGCTGTTGCCGTGCCGTCCTGTGCCGCTGGCAGTAACGAGACCAAGCCAAGCATCATCATGATGTCTGGATCAGGAATGATGGGCAGCGCGACCGCTTCGGGTAACATGCCGGAGTTCACAGGTGCTGCGGCAGCAAACATGGCGATGGGTTCCGTGGTTGTGGGTGTGTTCGGAGGCTTGTTCGCTGCGCTTATGGTTTAAGTGGTGTCATGCAATGGTAGTTGTGAGGGATGCCGGTGCAGTCGGATGTCTTGATACCAGGAGTGCGTGGGTGATGAGTACGGGAGAGGAACGATTCGTACTTTTTGGCTACTAGGTTAATGTGTTAATGGTAATGGTGGTTGAAGAATGATAAGATGGCTCTTCAGCTCGAAGAAACCGTCATGCAAACATGTATCACATACTTGCAACGATCCGTGCACATCTACACCTTATACTATGATCTTTTAGCAGTGCTTCTGAAAATACTGGTACCAGAATATCATAGTAGATCCTTGTAAGGGCTTTACGCGGCTAAGTTTGACTGTCAAACGATATGGACACAGGCGTGTGTCCATTGAAAAACGCCATAATGAATGCTATGAAGGGTCGGTTTGCCAACCCACCCAACTGAAAAGAGGCCTAGCTTCTAAGGTCCAACGACCAAATTAGACACATGAAACCATAACGAACAAGTACCTGGCGACCTGGTCAGTACAACGCACCCCGACCCTAAGAGTCAAACACAGCCCCGTAAGCCGCACCCCCGTTCCCCTTGATTCTCTCAACGGCCTCTCTTGTAGCCTTCGGATTACTAACGACCATAACAGCCTCCAACTCGCACTCTTTCTTCATAACCTCTGCCTCACACGCCACATCGGGCCTCCCGTCCCTAGAGTCAAAGATCTTCGGCTCCGGATCCACTCTCCGTATAATATCCTGCGCGAACCCCCAATGCTCCGCATTAGGATCATACACAACCCACATGACCCTAACCTGCTTGCCCTGTTCGCGCATGTGTACGATGGCTGGTGAGCTCAAAAGGGAGAGCAAGGGACCGATACCTGCACCGGTGGCTACAAGGAGGAGGGAGTCGAACAATGGGGCGAAGGAGAGGAAGTTTTTGGTGGCAGGTTTGCGAAGCCAGATGTGAGTAGGTGGAGAGGTGATGATAGACTTTGTCCAGTCACCCGCTGCCGAGATGACTATATATGCGGAGGTGATAGTTGGTGTAGATGAGGCTTGGATAGGGATCGTGGCAAAGGCGTGCCATTCGAGAAGCGGGGATAGCGAGAAGCGGGTTGTGGAAGTGTAGGGCATATTTTTGTAAGGGAATTTAAGCTTGACTTCGCGGCTTGAAACAGCTTCGGCGGTTATGGGTACGCGGCGGATGCGGGTCCATGGTAGGATTATGAGGAAGGTTGTCGCGGCTAGGAGCCAGAGGGCGGTGTTGGCGTAGAGAGCTGAGCTGCCTGGGTTATTGCTAGCCACGCCTGCATTTATCCATAGTACTAGTAATGCTGCCCATCCACCAAAGCGATGCGTGTGTTCGAACGTGTCGTGAAATCTCACTCGGAGACGTGGAATTGCTAGAATACAGACGACTAGGATGAACAGGAGGAAGGCGTAACAGGTGAAGATGTCGGCCCACATCCAGCCCGTAGCCTTGTCCTGCTTTGCGGTATCGAGAAAGGATTCTGTGTTGAGGGACACAAAGTAACAGTACCATAGCAGTGCTGCCATGGAACATCCAATGTGTAGTCCGCCGTAGTGGTGAAAGTCTGCAATCATCTTCCGGAGCCATAACGGCAGACTAGCTGGAGTTTTGGCTACGAAGGAGAAGCTTACGTTGATGAGGTCTTCTTGACGCACAAAGACGGCAACGAAGATATTGGCGGCCGTAGCGATTAGAGGTCCAGAAAGGGCAAAATTCTCGTGGCGAGTTTTTCTAATGTGCACAATGAACACTACGACGTTAATTAGAAAGGTGAGCGCGATGAGTATCCGATATGCTGTGAACCAATGAAGGTAGAAGCTTAGAATTCTTTGTCGAGGTCTAGTGTCTGTCAAAGACAGAGACCCCGTGGAAGATAGAGCGTGCGAAGACACTGTTACTGATGATTTGATGCCAATGTTCTTCTCGTCAATAGGCTTCAGCAGTGGCCCTTTGTAGACCTCTACGTACTCTGCCTGCGGAAACTTCTTCGATTTACTATGCGTTCCCTGTGGCATATGGTACGGTTTCTGATAACATGTCTCGTCCAAAGGATCGTACGTGTCTTGGTGACTACTTCGGTAGGTCTTGGCTTCGTTGGGGTTGTTGGTATCGGCGTATCCATCTTCAGACACGTCCGAAACAGAACAGCTGGCGAGGGTCTGATCGAGTGAATCTAATAAAGTGTTTGAATTGTCGATTGGCCGGACCACACTGGGCATGACATGAGCGCATGTGCCATGAATAAGAGGCTGATTGTGATCGAGGGGAGCGCTACGACGGCCATGGGGCGTGATCTCTCGGCAGTGCTCGACCGATTGACGTAATTTTGCAATAGAGTTGGCAGAAGGAACTGGTGAAGTTCGGGAAGAAGTGGCTGAAGGAGTCGTAGTAGGAGTGGCCATTTTTGCGAATCAGTGAAAGTCCCCTGTGCACAACCGCACCATCGCCTCGTCCCGTCCTTCCAACTTATACAGTGCTATCCTGCCCATCTCATAATCTGGTCATCCAGAATGAGGCAAGTGTACGCTGCACGTTGATGATGGATGATGTGCCAAGCACATATCATCAAGAAACGGCTCTAGCGCCGAGTCAGCACTGCCGCGAGCTGCATACGAAATCAGGGGAAATAGACGCCCACGCCGCTTTGCCGCAGCCAAGCGAGACCCGATGTACTCACAATTAGCTCTAGCTTCTAAATACAAAGACATTGTCAGCTCGTTTCAAATCCCCCGATCGATCGGACCCCAAAGTCGTCTTCGCTATCATTATAATGCACATGTATGTACGTCTCCTGTCGACCTGAAATAGAGCTCCGGGTCATATTTTGAGTGGAAATAGCCTGCGCCGAATTGGACAAGCGTTTGGCTTGACGTTTTGCGCCGTTTGTGGTGTCTTAATGTATCACTGACGTTGCATTGCGTAGCTTAGCGTGTGATAATAGTGGATCTCGACTATAGAGCTTCCTAATACCACAATACCGACAGTGCTTGACTACAGATCTGGTTGCAGGCCCGAATGCCGGGCAATAGGGAGCGATCGGACAGCAGCTCTTGCTGAGAAGGATGAGAAGGAATTGCGGCGTGGCGGCGTAGCGACCTCAACAAGACGATGAGCCGACGTGGAAGGGATGCCCTTAGTAAGTGGCTGGATCCAGCCCGAAACAATACAGGTAATATGCAGACGCAAGAGTTGATAAATCGATAGGATCGCATGTATCTGCAGACATCTGTACACGTCGTAACTGCAACCCACTTAAAGAGAGCGAATGAATCCTAGTACCCCTTCAACAACACTTTCCGGCTGCTCTTGTTGAGGCCAATGTCCTGCACCTTGGATGAACCGGATCCCTCTAAAGTCGGAGCATGACTCGGGATAGGCCTCGATAGCCCCAGGTTGCTGGTAGTTGCCCCAGTCCTTAGCGCCTGAGATGAAGGTACTCGGACATTCGATCTTCTTGCCCGCGAATAGGTGGAGGTCTCTCATATTGTTCGGATCAGTGGTAATTCGGTAGTAGTTGAGGCCACCTTGAAAGCCTGTTCGTGACCATTCTTGGACGTAGACTGTCAAATCCCGATCAGGCATCCACCGTTCGGTTGCCGAGCTATCTTGGTTGACCATCATGTCAGCGATGGTATCAGGCATTGACTTGTGCAACGGCATAACGTAGTAGTTGGGTACTTTAGCCATCTCTTCAGACGTCCAGCTCTTAAGAGGGTGAGGCGAGTTCTCTTTCCAGTCAGCTGACTTGACATGAAGATACCCTCTGAGAAAAGCATGCAATCCTTGGCTTGGGTTTAGCCAATCGCCTGCAGCTCTATTGGTACTGTTGTACCACTTGTAATGTTTCCTCGGCACAGGCAGATTTGCCAGCTCAGCGTGGATGTCCGGCTGTGGCGCGTGTCCGTCAGTCTCACCGTCACCGTGGGCTATATCGAATGGCAAGAGCGCGGGCGCTTTAAAAGGATGACTCATCATGACAACGCTCTTGAAGAAATCCGGACGCATCAAAGCACACATGCTTGCAGTGACGGCACCAAAGTCGTGGCCAACAATGCACTTGACCTCTCGATAACCCAGAGCATTGACCAGGGTCACGACATCGCGAACCACGTTGGTCAGAGCAAACTGCGATAAGTTTGTGTTGGAGTAGGAAGAGTTGTCCCAACCAGTTGTTCGCCCGTATCCTCGCTGATCAAAGGTTACCACATAATAGCCTGCCTCAGCGATAGGCACCATGACCTTCCTCCAAGAAAAGGCGAGTTCTGGGAAGCCATGACATAGAATTATCAGAGGCTTATCCCGTTGCAGAGTATAGCCAGCTTCGAGTGTGTGAAAAGTAAGGCCATTGGAGGGGCAGTAGACGTAGTTCTCGACGATACCGTCTGGTAGTGGCAGAGGCGGAAGGCGCGACGCTGACGACGCCATACTAAGAAAATGCTACACGTATGCAGATCAAGACAAGGTGTGAGCAATGACAGGCGTGAGGTGTGGTATGTTTTCACGTGATCCCTACTTGATAGAAAGGCAAGCTGGCCATGTTGGCAACCTTGGAAATCGTCACGATGCTATTAGCGCGGGGAAGATATGCGGCCTTGGCGATCTCGCATCGTTGAGTGGGCCAGTTCGGCGATCATAGAACCCACATAGGTTCTGACGCAAACATGTGCTTTAGATGCTGTCAATGTTCAAGTCGAGTGTTGTTCAAGATGGAGCTGCCTTGATTCTGTCGTAGTACGTTGCTGCCTTTGCGACGTGTGACTGGCAAACGGCGATGACCGGCCAGTGAGCATGCTATGCTTTGGAATATATTCGCGAATCAAACCGCGGACCCCAGCCGGCGCTACGACGGCTTCGTGGAGATATCGCATACGTCAGTGGCGCCGGACATGGAACTGGCCAGATTGGTGCTGGTGCTTCGACAGGGCCACTAGCTGGAGAGGTACAAATCAGGGACCGTGTGGTGCAAAGCGTCAGGAGAAGTGCGTGCGCGTTTGCAGGATGGACAAGAGTGTAGACAGGGAGTGAGGGCGAAAATAAACAAAACACAGCTGCGTCTGAGGCACGTCTAGACCGCATCTGGCAGGGCAAAGCCACGCTGTCCCTGACACACGCGACAGCCTCACCCTCGACAACGACGCATGTTTGGCGTCTGGATGAGACGGTGAAGCGTTTGGCACTTTTTTTTTGCGACGGTAGCAAATGGCGCCGGCGCGAATCTTACCTTTGCGGCGCCAGCAGGTCGGCCTAAGCTTTTGAGATGTCCGGGAAGATGACGATCCTCTTACTTGTTTTGCTAGCTACAACAAGTCGACTCCGCCCAGATGCGTCTTCGAGCCCTTTTCAATTTCCAGTCCCTCCACACGTGAGAAGACCCCAACTCACCTGCGCCCTGTGATTTGTTTTTTCTTTCGGTGGTTTGACGCGAGTAGCCGTCCTCTCTCATTCACTTCAATCAATCCGCACGGTTCCGCCCTGCAGACGTGACATCATCTCGACGACCCTTGCTGCATCTCCGAAGCCACCACACCCTCGCATGCACACGGAAATGCAGAGCCAGTCGCAACTGCCGTAATCTCTAATTCACCACACCACAATGTTCGGGAAACGACGACGGGCAGCGTCCAATCCGGTAGGTACTCGCCTTGGGTGCGCGCGCAAACCTCGTGTCGCGCTCAGCAGGCCCTCTGGCGACGCGATGCTAACAATTCTTGCCCGATGCAGCCCCAACGAGCCCCTCCACCCAGCGCATCCGCCTCGCTTGCCGCCTCCAAGGCTTTTATAAAGAATGCCGAATCCCATGGCGACCTCTCGTCTGCAGCCGCCGCTGCCGCCTTGCGCACCCACGTAACCACGCCGACTCCCGTGGGCGAGACAGTCACGAAGCGCATGGTGCGCCGCGGCTCACTGTCGTCAAACGGCAGCTTCTCGAGACAGCAGCCCGGTGCCCCTGGCCTGCGCCGACAGTCGAGCTCAGGCTCCATGACAGAGCGCTCATTCCGCGCGCCATCGCCTGGCCGAGGGAGCCCAGCTGACACGGATGCGCCGCCAGTCCCGCCAGTGCCAAAGAACATACAACAGCAGGCAAGTGTCGTCCATCGGCGTGCGTCCAGCCTGGAGCCCACGTATCGAGGAGGATCACCAGCACCAGCAGGAGGCAGAGGCCGAGGCGTCAGCCTGGATAGGGGCGCCAACCCCGTCGGGAGAGGCCAACGGCCTGCTAGCCATCTTGCCCAAGTATCCGAGGAAGACGACGCCTCGCGATCTGTAAACTTCTCCCGCCCAATGTCTCCAGGCGCAATAGGCACACGCCAAAACCCCTCGCCTCCATCTAGCAAAGGATGGTTCGGTGGCCCGGTTGTAAACCAAGAGGCAGTCCAACGCATGGCCTCGACATCGCGACCCAAGACATCTAGTGGCGTCTCCAGCTATGATCTCCAGAACGCTCAACGGTCCGTCCAGAATGCTGCTGAACGTCCAGTCAAGACACACCAGTTATCACAGGGCGTTCAGGGCGCAAGACTGTCGAGCGGCAGTATGCGTGCCAAGCCATCTGGATCTGCTGTACAATCGCAATCCTACCTGCCGCCGCGCGCTCCTCGTCCAGTCGATCCCAACTCGCCAGATGCCATCTATGATCCTTCGACGCGCAAGTTCATCCATAAGCAGGATGCCATGGCCCGTCACCGAGAGCTACACGAAGAGCCGGAGCCTGCGCCGCGGTACGTGTCACAGCACCTCGACACCTTCCACTCAGTCCACATACCTGAAAACCAGATGGGCCGGGGCTCACCAAGTCCTATACGCCACTATGTCCGACAGGAGCAACAAGCACCGCAGAGACGAGAAGAACCTGTAACGCAAGCTCTCGAACCGCAGTTCAACGCAGCTACCGAAACAAGACATTCTGGCGATTTCATCGATGCCGACTTCCCACCCCAGGAGCATGCAAACACCAGTCGCAAACTGGAAGACTCTGGTTATGGCACTATAGTTGGTCATGAAGACGATGTGCCTTCGCCCAAATTCGCTCCGAACCAGGATAGCTCATATCCTCGCCTGGCTACTCCAGTGACTACTCCAGCCAATTCGACACCTGCAGGTTCTGTTAGTGGCCAGGGCCGTGGCCGTCTTCCCGAGGCGCATGACCGGAATGCTTCACTGAGCCCACCGCGTACCGCCCATTTTGCAGCTGTACCCGTTGAACTTGCAGGCACCAAGCATGACCCGCTCCCGCGCTCAGTGTCCCCTGCAAAGTCTGTCTTGAAGAGCTCGCCTTCGGTTTCGCGCCGCGGCGGCTCGCCAGCGACTGCAAATGGACGTCTCTCCGCTCGTTTCGCTCCGAGCGAAGCATCTGACACTGGGTCTGATGACGGAGGCAGGAAGAAGAAGAAAAACGTTCGTGTTAGTTTTGAGGAAGAACCAGTACTACTGGGCAAAGCTACTGATACAGAGGCACCTCTCGGAGGTTCCGGTGCGCCCAAGTGGAGCCCCATAGCCGAAAAGGAGGATGAGTTCGAAGACTTCATGAAGCCACGCGCTGCTCTACCAGTGTTCGGTAGTATACGCGAGAAGGAGCGACGACCGCAGGAAAACATGGCTGAGAAGGTTACAGAGACGTTCCCTACTTCGAACGCCTCTAGTGACAACGCGCTTGGAAATATTGTCGCAGAGGACTTCGCCCAAAAGCATGCAACTCACAGCGACCCGCTACCTCCCGATGTCACTACTGTCGAAGGGAGTGGCTATGTGTCGGACTCCAGCGACTACTCAGACACCCATAGGCCCATGGAGACTTCGCAACAGCCACCTGCTCCGGAGCCGAAGTCATTGTCCGTATCACAAGAAGAGACAACATCAGCGGCGGCTCCCATCACTGAACAAGTCGTGGAGGTACCTAACATCGCACTCCAGCCCGCCACCCCTAGCCCGAACGAGAGGTCTGAACCCGTATATCAGAGCATGACGATACCTGGGGGTTGGGGCGAGGAAGTCTCTGAAGCTGAGAAGAAGACGGTTAACCCGACTTCCACGACGTCTGCGCCCGTCCTGGACTCAACAACGCAACAGCCGAAGTCTACTACCCAGGCGGAAGAATACGACGAGACCACAGACGATAACAGCAGCGTTTACAGTGACGCCTACGAAGATCTCTCTGATGGTGAAGGGTTCGGCAGCATCAACGCCCTAATGGAGAAGCCTGTTGCCGCGTCTTCTTCTGGGTTGATGTCTTCAAGATACGCAAATGCAGATGCCACAGACAAGGCTACTTCGAATCTCCAGCTAGACACCGCCGTGGACGACCACCGCGACTCAGATACTACACCAACGCAAGATTGGAACGCTGCTCAACAACATTGGAGCGGTCTCAATGCGTCTTTAAAGAAGCCAAACTCAGAGCTAGGGCAGACTCAAGCGCCCCCCGAACGAGCTTCACATGCTCAGGAGGTAATTTCTCGAGTCATGCAGGCTCCAGTCTCAGAAGAGATGGCAGCACCATCTTCCTCACGCGAGTATACACCAGATGCAAAACCAGAGCGCAAGGTCACAGCCATACCACCTCCACGGACTACTACTCCATCAGCTGATCAGTCTCCGGCAAAACCTCTCAAGTCTGCTTTGAAGAAGAGCCCTGCACCACAGCCGGCGCGCCCAGTTGAATCACAAGCTAGGACGACCCTGCGGACGGCTACGCCGAGGGAAGGTGCCTCTGAGACTCATATGAAGCGAACTATGCGAGGAGGTTCGGATCCGCCTTCGCGAGCAGGACCGCAGATGGGATCAACTATGCGGACGAGCATGCGGGGACCCTCAGACACGACTCCTAGAGCGCAGCCCCAGATGCGACAAAGTATGCGTTCAGCGGATGCCTCGCCGGCACCAAGCATGGGTCTAGCAGCGTCGCGACACAGTATGGTACCTATGGACACCAAACCTCCGCGAGGTGCTCTCCAAAAGAGGAACATCCCGCCTGCTGCTGCTGTCTCCAAGGGCAGACCACAGAGCATGCCTGCGGCAAAACCGATGGCTGCACCAGCACCTACATACGACAGTGACTCTGATGCTTCTGTAAGCAGTTTCCAACGCGAACGCGCCAGAAAGCGCGGAGGACGGGAGCAAGGTGGGCGCTATACAATGCGCGGCTCAATGAGACAAGAACCTGCACCCACTATGCGAGCAAGTGCTCCGGCACCTAAGCAAGTCCGGGCAATTTCTCCACCAGCCACACCGTCCGCCATGCGAAGATCTATGCGGCCTTCTTCGCCAACGCCAGAACCAGTAAAGTCATCGAAGTTCAGCATTCGATCATTGTCGCCAATGGGAAGATTCCGCAGAGGATCTGATGTTCGTCCTTCGTCGCCTACACCGCCAATGCCCGTCTTCAACAAGCAGACACTGCCGCCTAAACCGTCTAAAGCGCCGAAACAAAAGGCACCACCTGCCAAGGCTTCGAAAGCTGCGTTCAAGAGTCGTTTCGCCGATTCAAGCGACGAAGAAGACGACGCTCGACCGTCTCGTTTCCAAAGTCGATTTGACGATTCGGACGATGATGAGCCTGCTGATTACACCCTGCCTCCAGGTTTGGCGCCAGTACGAGGGATTCCTAGAAAAGCGGGCGAAGAGGATGGCGACTCTACCGATCTAGAGGAAGAAGCGGATGATGAAACCACAAACGTTGTCCCTAAAGCCACACCAGTGACAAATGGTGCAAACGGTAACTCGGGCGCACAAGGTGCAGCCCTCTCCGCCGGCTCTTTGCGTGACAGCAAGCATGCGCCTTTGCCCTCGTTTGGAGATGCTGGCAAGAGCAAGTCGAAGCGTGGTTTCTTCGGCCTAGGAAAGAAGAAGACTAATGCTCAGCCACAAGCCGTTCAGGTGCAGCCCGAGCCAACGCAACACGCTCCAGCGTCTGATGAGATTCCTTTGCCACCCACACAACGCAACCGCGATCTGGGGTATCCCATGACGCCCATCGACGAGGACAAAGAATTCGGCGACCCAAGACCCACCTCTCCTCGATCGCCTAAACTACAACGTAGAAAGACTCCCGAATGGCCACTTCAACCTCCACCTGTCATTGGCACTGACGACCGTCCAATGAGTTCAGATGGTGTCACGGCTCGCAGACCGCGCTTCGCCAACCGACAGTCTAGCGCTATCTCCAATGTTTCAGCGCCCATTGTTGACGCCCAAGGCCGTTCCGTCTCCTACGGCCGAAGCGGAAAGAAGAAGAAGTTCCAAGGTCTAAGGCGGGTCTTTGGACTGAATGACTGAGCGAGTTTAGCTAGTGGCTAATTCGCGTTTGTAGAGTTATGAGAAGACACCAAGACCGCCCTATGGCTCCCACTACTCATGTGAAGAGCCATAGGCTGGAACACTCGTCATCTACAGCACCGAGCCGATCGCGCGTTTCCTTTGCATCTTTTGCTCGTGTTTCGAACAGATTGTTGGCTTGTCGTCGTTCCACTACACATCCACTATCACCGTCTCATCTTTGAGCACGACCCACGAACATATCAGTTTCTCTTTTCCAATATACACACTGTGCTGTACTTGGCTGTTTTCCTTTTCCTTTTCCTTTCTCTCCCCTTCAGCTGGCGGCTTGCGTGATGCAGGCAGGGCTTCTCGGGAAGAACAATGATACCAGTTTCCTTTTTTGTTCCATGTCTCTCTGGCGATGCCGCGACATATATGCGCATCTGCCGCAATACCCTTCGCTTTAGATTCAAGCTTGAATTTTCCTTGCACGACGAACTGATCGTGTTTGATGTACGCTTATGTTGGATCGAGTCGAGCAGAGGGATCGGGAATGTGACGTAGATAATTTCTAATGGAACTTGCATTGCCTTATCAGCTGTCTGCTCGTAGATATTGTGCCTCACTTTGTGACTTGTTATCGATTGAGCATATCTGCATTCTTCTCTGGAAGAGTATGTGAGTGCATTGGAGCGGCTGACATCTGAAGAGCATGCACGTATATGAGCAGCCATGCGATATACGAGATGCAAGTGTAAACAATTGTAACAAGAAAGAAATCATTTCAAACGATTGAGAGACTATATGGCTATTGCGAACACAGAAAATGAACGTAAGATAGCGACACTGAGCAAGCTATCCTGTCACGGTGTCACAACAGGAAGGGTATAGAACATGGATCTCGAAGGACCTAATCTCAATTCCGCTCGCTGTCATATCCTCAGTTACTTCTCTGCATTCATCCTCTTTGCATACCTCACTCTCCCCCTTAGTACTTTGGCTTGAAGGGCAACGTCGACATCTGTGCCCCTACTTCGGCCTCAATACCAAACAACCTATACAGCCATTTGATGATAACAAAGAAGCTCTCCGGCTCTCCCATGTGCTTGATACCCGTTATAAACCTCGCTTCCTTGGGCGCACCATGTTGCAACGCAAGATAATAATCGTCGATTGGGAAAATCTCATCCTCAGTTCCATTCACCAACAGCAATCTCGAACATGTTTGCTTGTCCAACGTGCCGTCGTTTAGCAACGAGAACTTGTTCATAGCTTCCTTTTTGAAGGCTTCGACGTCGTTTCCGTAACCCCATTTGTATGCGAGTGTGTTGGCAAGATCAAAGGGGTACTCGAGGTGATTTACATTGTCGAGCCATTCGCGCTCAAACATGTAGTGGCAGCCTCCTCCTAATGCTACGACGCCAGCCAGACGATCTGCGTGTGTGTGAGCGACGCGGATGGCGTAGTAGCCGCCGGTACTAAATGCCCAGATGGCAACTTTCTTTGCATCAAGACGCTCTTGTGTGGCTATCCAGTCGAACAGTGAACTGTAGAGACGGTCTGGGGATGTGGGGTCCGATGCGGTAGCGGGACAGTCTCCAGTACCGGGTATCTCCAGAACGATAGTGGCTACGCCTACACGACGCCAGCCTTCCATCCAGACGGCTAGCTCAGTACGGTAGCCGTCGAGGCCAGTGAAAATGATGACGGTGGGTACCGGGTTTTCTTTTGAGGCGCCTTCGGGGACGAGGTGGTAAACGGGTATGTGTTCTCCTTCGTCTTGATTGCGATGTTGATGTGGGACCATGACTTCGTGCACAGGATGCGGACGCATTCCTAGGCCCTTGATGCAGACTTCTTTGCCTAGTTTCCATGCTTCGCGTTGAACATCGCTGCGTGGCGCAGGGAAGCGGCTGATGCGGTAAACAGCGCTGGAACGGAGGTAGTATTCTGATGCCTTCTCTTTCTCGCCGTTCTTCTCAGCCTCTTCGGCTATCGATTTGAGCTTCTCGGCTTGCGGGAAGTAGATTTTGGCGTATTCGTCCCAGTTGTAGGGCTCTTTCATGTCTCTGGATTTCATCTCTTCTACTATCGGCTCAAAATCGGAGGCTGTACCAAACATGAAGGGGTAGACGCCCATCTCTGCCTGTGATGTATCAATAAACTTAATTCAACATGGTTGCAGCTGTCGCATCTATGTTATTGAGTGACGAGTGGTGAACATACAGGCTTCTTCCACTTCGTCTCCCAAAGCTGTTCGTAAGACTCATGATGCTTTGCCGGAGTCTTCAGCTTCTCTTGGATAAAGAAGTTCCCCCCTGGTGCTGCCATGCTTGAATCAGTCTTCTCTTGTTATTATATGTGTTTATCTTCTTTCTTTGGCGAAATGTGTATCCTAAATCGTAGTAAGATCTTGACGAGAGATGAACGGCTAAATTGAAAACACAAACTTAGGACTCAGCAATAGATCTTCAAGTCTCATATATAATCTATGAATCTATTCATAGACCTCCTGTTCGGCACAAGTTCTCGTGGCAACAATGTTGCGGCAATGGTGCGGTCCGCCGCCGTTCGGGGATAAAACGTCATGGTCCGTGAGCGGGGAGCCGAAACCTCAAGCCCATTATCTTTGTACAGGACGCGATTGCGCCAGCGTTCATTGGAGATGAACTCGCGATATCTTCGAATTGTACAGTAGCTGGCTTAGAGCGCGATTCTATATATATACAACGCGATGTCTTGTCTAAGAGCACCACGAGTGATAGCAGTTCGTATCATAGAGATGATGTGATCGCGAATCTAGTACACGAACCATCTATGAATTGACGAGGAGGCATCAAAACGATGAGATGTATGTCGCACCAGTGAGTATTCCAAATGAATCTACTGCGGACTTTTTAAAGCACTTGCAGGATAAACACGCTGGTAGTGTGTACGTTTGGTATTGAACGTGAAAATATTCGGGACAATTCAGAGAAAAAGAGTTTCCTACATTCTTGCAGAGTCGTTCATGTCTTCATCTTCATTTATCTTGGCTAAATCGTTCGTGAAACGTGCCTCATGATCCGTACCCATGTCCTAACCATCCCATACGCCGGTAATGCTACTTTGAATCTACTTGTGTGCTGCATCGCATTAGCAAGCTGTGGACAACTTCAAAGCTTTATGTACTTACGAATGCCCTCAGTGGGCTTGGGGGTTACGTCGACAACCTCCGCGGCGGGCTTCTTGACCTCAACGATGTCCTTCATAAAGGGGAAGGTGAGCACCTCCTTGATGGAATAGTGGTCTGTCAAGAACATGACTAGACGGTCGATACCCATACCCCAACCACCAGTGGGCGGCAGACCGTACTCGAGCGACTGACAGAATGTCTCGTCAATGAGTTGTGCTTCGTCATCACCAGCGGCCTTCTGGTTCGCTTGCTCTTCCTGTATAACCGTAAGTATTCATATTATCAACGTACCTGCCTCAAACTTACGAATCGCAGACGTTGGTCAAATGGATCGTTCAACTCAGTGTAGGCGTTGCAGATCTCCTTCTTACATACGAATGCCTCAAAGCGCTCGCAGAGACCAGGGGTATCGCGGTGGTATTTGGCAAGTGGTGACATGACCTCGGGGTGACCGATGATGAATGTAGGGTTTATAGCAGTCTCCTCGATAAACTCACCAACCAACTTGTCGATCATTCTTGAGTTGGTGCGAGGCTCTGAGCAGTCGACATTGACCTTCTTGAGCACCTTCTTGAGGAACTCGTTGGTCTCGGCAGTGTGTAGCTGGTCTGCTGGTGGGAACTTCTCACCAGTAGCCTCTTCCAATGCGGGTATCATTTCGACTCGCCTCCATGGCCTTGCCCAGTTGACGTTGTAGATCTCGCCGTCCTGAGTATGGTAGACCGTCTCGTAGCTGCCAGTGACCTCCTTGACCAATTCACTGACGAGCTCTTCGGTCATGTTCAAGACGTCGTTGTAGTCGGCGTACGCCATATAGAATTCGCATGTGGTGAACTCAGGGTTGTGGGTGAGATCGATACCCTCGTTACGGAATTGACGGCCAATCTCGTATACCCTCTCAAGACCTCCTACTACGAGTTCCTTGAGGTATAGCTCGGGCGCGATACGCATGTAAAGCTCCATGTCGAGTTCGTTGTGGTATGTCTTGAAGGGTCGTGCAGTCGCACCACCAGCAATCTTGTTCATCATAGGTGTCTGAACTTCCAGGAAGTCTCGTTCGTCGAGATATTTGCGAACGGCCTTGATGATCTTGGAGCGAGTGATGAAGGTGTTGCGTGTCGAGTCGTTCATGATGAGATCGAGGAATCGGTTGCGGTGGCGTTGCTCCTGGTCCTTGAAACCACTATCACAGTATCAGTACTATGTTTACCTGAATCTACAACCGAACTCACAAGTGCTCCGTTGGCAACATTCTCAGGCAGGGAGTAAGAAGGATTACTTCGCGTGCGAAGATACTCAGCTCGCCCTCACCACCCTTCTTGGGACTTGTGCGACCTGGGAAGCCGATGACGCCGATGATGTCTCCACGCTGGATGTTCTCATGCTGCTTCTCAAAAGGTACGTCAGCCTTGGCTTCCTGTAGTTGACACATGACCTGAATCTTGGTGCCCTCAGCCTGGCCTGTAGATTGTTAGCTGTTAAAGGCATCATGTTGTGCCGTATACGTACAAACATAGAAGTGCAGCGCGTTGGAGGCGGAACGCTGTGTCATGACGCGGAGACCAATGCGAATCTCCTTATCAGGCTCGGTCTCTCCCTTCTTGAGGTGCGAGTAGTCGCGAACATAGTCGGGGAGCTTGTAGTTGGTGTGGAACTTGTGCGGGTACGGATTCGGTTGCTTGGAGGCACGAAGTGCGTTAATCTTGTTGGATCGGATTTCGAAGTATTGCTGTAGTATGTGAGCAATTGGATCGACAGAAATTTCAGGGTTGAAGGCGCACGTTTGGGTTCAATTCTTCGACATCGTCCTTCTTCTCCTTCTTGGTTTGCACCGGGAGCGCGGCTGCCTTCTCCTTCTTCTTCTCGTCCTTCTCACGCTGCTTCTGGCGACGCTTCAGTTCACTCTTGGAGATCTTCTCGCCAGTGACGGGGTCAGTGTGCAAGTCCTTGGCCTCGGCAGCCGGTGGCTGTGTTGCAGGTTGTTCGTCAGCCATTGTTGCGATGTTGGGGTGTTGCTCGTGTGGGCTGCGCGACGAGATACAATGCCCCGCCAAACTTTTCGATTTGACTCACCCCGCCTTCGCGTCGACTGCAAGCCACAGGAACAAAGTTTTTCCATCCGGCTTCTAGGACTCATGCTTCATGCCACATCGGTTTTCTTCTCTATTCATTGTAAACATATTGAGCACTTATTCCATATCGCTGCCGGATTTGGTAGATGTAGAGTCTCTGGCACTATGATTGTATCGATTCATCATGCGTACCCCGCATGCGATCAAGGCTTGACATAACAGAGCCCTTTTGATCACAGAGACGGAAAGATTGCAATTCTCACCTGGCCACGACATATCAAATGGACTCTGCAACGACACCTCGGTCCCTGTCTGTATCACGTTTCGAGTTGACGTTGGCTACATCTTATAACGCAACAACAAAAAGCTTTTGCATCGTCAATGTACTTCTTACCTGACTCAACGGAAGAAGTTCGTGTAGAAATTTCGTCACTCTCGTGACTCTGCCCAAATCAATCGGAATGAGGAACAGACCCACACGGTCATGCCCAGATATAGCATCCAAGGATCACCTAGTGGCCTCAATATGCGCAATGCGAAGACGCGCAGTATTGGGCATCTACGGCAGCAGATCTTGCATCACCTTAGCGACGGGATGAACAGTGGGAACAGATCATCTCCAGACCCTGTGGATCTTTAAGGCGATGTCACGGGAGGTCCCTGGATGTTCGTCACTTTTGACAGCTGTCTGTGTTGGGCGTCTATTGCGCAGTAATATCCGACCCAAAACCGACAGAAACCCCATCTCTTTCTTCTTGGCGCGCACGCCTTGCGAATTTCGATCGCTGAGATCCTGGGTAATACCTTGATTGTGCGGGGTTTCCACGCAATTCTTCTACCCATTTTGGCCTTCACTTCCACAACCACGGGCATGAAGTAGGCCCTAATGCTCTCCTGTTGAAAAGCCACATCATCTACCCACGATATCATCAAGCCTAGTAAATCATCTAGAATTAGTTACCATGGAAATCCGAACTGGGCGAACAATCCAGCAGATGTTACCATAGTGATTGGATTGGGCGACAAGCCGTATGGCCGTGACAATATTAGGAAATTCGAAGTTGTGTTCTGAAACACGCGTTGAAACATCAAACTTGGGGTATCATGAGGCTGGTGCCCGCTGCAAATGCGGTTAAGGCTGACCTGTGCATGTAGCTGCACGATATGTCGCCGTGCGCTCATGTCGCGTTCCTGATTTGGAACTCAGAACAAACTCGTATCGATCATTTTAGATGCAATGTCGCTTCTGCTCGGGACCGGTAAAACTGCAGCGCATTGCATATCCGGAAATACTCGGGTCCATGCCTTAGACAGCACTCTTGGAGCTTGCTGCTCGTCGCAGAGTGATCAGGTCTTGCCAATGTCGGAATGTGCCATCATAGTGACGATGGAAGGGTGTAGAGAAATATGGAAGCGCACGATAGGCTAAAGCAGGTACGACGATGATGAAACAGGAAAACATGGCGATGGAAGCGCGTACCTGCAGTATCCGACGTTGGACGGTAGACTAGCGGGGATAATTCTAGTACCAATATTACTGAGGTCGCAGAAGCGGCCACATGATGCAGATTCGGGGTATCAGAATGTTGTTTTTTCCCATGACGCGATGATCTCCACGCGTGACAGCTCGAGGGCGCTTGACTGCCGACGTGCTTTTGCGTTTGATCGATCAAGCAGGTACGATCTGTAGCCGCACCTTCCCGGAGAGTTAGTGGTCAGTTGATGCAACCATCTCGAAGTCTGGCCTCAAACAAGGCCTCGTGAGCACGCTGTTTGAAGAAGACTATCGAGCGGCATACGGTCCGCCTCCGAGACCCAGCTATCTGCAGCCTTGTGAGCTTCTAGCGTGTATCATATCGATAGCTTAGCCGCTCTACGTTCACGGAGTGGCTCTGACATCGAGAGCTGGGGGAGAGATCAAGGAGGCTACGTCATGTGTAACCACCCATCTTCGATCCCGGCGCCATGGGATGGACGGATGGCTAACTGCAGGCGAAGCATCATTGGAACAACCCTCGATCGCAGGAAGCCGTGCGATCGGACAAGTTGAAACGTCGAGAGGGGGATCCGGTGGTACGGCTGGG